CAAAAATTGGTGGGTGGGAGTGAGTGTGAGTGTGTGTGTGTGTGTGTCTTTATATATAGCAGGGGTTGGCAACTTTTGGCATGCGGCTCGCCAGGGTAAGCACCCTGGCGGGCCGGGCCGGTTTCTTTACCTGCCATGTCCGCAGGTTCAGCCGATCGCGGCTCCCACTGGCTGCGGTTCTTCATACAATCTGGAATACATCTCCATAAAGTTTACAAATGAAAGTGTAGAAAATGGGATCTTTCTTCAGATAATACATTTTTATGAACAAATGCAGACCCTTTAACAGGACATCAGCTTAAAGATACTTTTGCCTAAAACTTGTTTTCCTGTTGTTGTTTAATTTCTACAATCTATATAACTGAAAGAGATTAGAGGGAAAATATTTTTCAGTATATTTACTGGGTGGGTCGGTCAGTTTCTTCTGTTTGTGAGGGTTTTTTTTAAAAGAGCAACAAGGGAGGTAAAAACAATTTTTAAAAATTGGAAAATATAATGTTAACAAAAATTGTAAGATAGATTTAAGGACACATGTAATACTTGAAACAACTATTAATCTTGTTTTTAAAAATTGCCTGGATTTCAAGTTGATAATGTGCCTTTTATAATATGTTCTCTTGAGGCTAATTTAGCCTCCCTCCCACCGAACATCCCATTTGTATTAGACCCCAGTCATTCAGTGAATGTATTGCAAGCTCATCCCTGAGCCCACACGGAGCCCCATTGAAATCACTGGCATCTCTATCCAGGCTCAGGTGTCTGCCCATGCAAGGCTATAGTGAATATACCAAGATTGTTTAACAGTCTTTTAATTTAGAGGACGTTTTAAAGACAGAACAAAAATAAATCTTCAAGTAATACCATGTTACAAGAGACAAACTTAGAAATATAGTGAGAAAATGTTAGTGCAGGAGTCTTCCACTAAAGGATTAGTTATTGTACTGTATTGTGCTATCCATTTTTGAAGCTAAACTCCTCACTGATTCTCTTTCCACTCCTCCCCTCATTTTCTAGGATGGATAGTACTGCTTAAGATTGCACAATGTGCCCTGTGTGTGTTTGAAGTCTGAAAGTATGTGTCTAGTGAGCGTGACGCGCTCTCTCTCTCTCACTGCCTAGAATGATCCATGGAGAAGATAAGTTTATTTAACAGCTTCTGTATTATAAACCAGAAATGTTTTTAGAAACAGGGAGATTACTTATAGTGAAGGTGCAGAGAATTTAGTAAATAAGCCTCTGGAAAGGAAGGGATTCACATGTAACCAATTGTTACAAGTGTTCGTACAAAATAAGGCTCTGATCCTACATAGACTTATGCTCTATGGGTAATTCCACTGCAGTCAACGAAACTACTCACATAAAGGTGAATAAAAGTTTTTATTGTTGATTTTGTGATAATTTTTTTTTCTTATAAAGAAACAGACAATGAAAGGTACAAAAAGATAGTGCATATGTGTAAGTCTTTGTATGACTGGGGCCTAAATATTAAATGATACTTTATAACATTAGATCAGCAAAATTCTTTTTTTTTTCTTTTCAGATAAAAACTGTGGCACTGTATTTTATTTATTAGCATGTATTTGGGCTGAATGGATTGGAACATCACTTTGAATTTATGCAAAAAAACCCAAACAAACCATGAAGCTGAGATGAAGATACATTATGAAGCTATCATTAATGTCTTTCTCCTGTAATCCTAATATATTAAGAATACTATGTCTAGTTTATTTTATGGTGAGACAGTTCATTTTTGTAAACCAGTACCTCTTGATGCTTTGGAAAGATAATTTGGGATATTCAGGAAGCAAAGACGTGTTAGGGCAGGGGTTCTCAAACTGGGGGTCGGGACCTCTCAGGGGGTCATGAGGTCATTACATGGGGGGTTGCGAGCTGTCAGCCTCCACCTCAAATCTCGCTTCGCCTCCGGCATTTAGAATAGTGTTAAATATAAAAAAAAAAAGTGTTTTTAATTTATAAGGGGGGGTCGCACTCAGAGGCTTGCTGTGTGAAAGGGGTCACCAGTACAAAAGTTTGAGACCCACTGTGTTAGGGCAAAGCCCACTGGAGCCTGAAGTGTACCAGCACCTATGAGTTCCTATTGGTAAGACCTTCTTGTAAAATTAAGGTAATATTCCTGTCAAGAGAGGCTGACTGAAACGTGCAGAGCTTAAAGTGCACTTCATTATTTCTCTGTAATCTTCATTGGTGGGGGTAGCTAAATCAGCATTATCCTCTCACTCCAATAACCTGTTGGTTTGTGGGTGGTGGTTGTGTTCATGGTTTCTTAAAAGTTAGCTCTATATATCTTCTTAGAGTAGGAGAGAATTTCTCTCAAGGGTTATTCTTTTATGAGAGTTGTTAATAAGGTGCTGCACCATAAAGAATGCTATTCTGTAGCATTCAGAGTACTCCTGCTTAGCCTTAGATAGAGATACTGTTAGTAACAGTTGCCATGAAAAACCTTCTGCGACAGCTTTAAGGTAAAATTGAAAAGGTTTTAGACAGATTCCTCAGCTTCAGTGGAGCTTTAGTCATGGTAAGTTCGTGTTGTGTTCCTTGTAATTGTTTGGTGTGTTTTTTTTTTTTTTGGCTTGTTGGAATGTGAGAAGTATCTGATCATTTCTGTTTGCGCAATCACTTTCAGTAGGAATAGCTGAATCAGTTGCTTTTCTCATTGGTGTTATCCTTGTGCATTTGTATGGTATTTAGTGAATACATTCTTTAAATGCTACATTGCAAATCTTAGTTGATTAATACTGTAAACAGCAAGAAGTGGTGCAGTTTAAAAATCAAATTCCCCAGTATTCACCCTGTTGTTTATTTTACAAGCAATTAACAAGCTCTTTATTGTGTAATGGTGAAAACATTGCAGTCTTTCCCCTTCTCTGTCCTTTGCAGGTGGACTTTACTGCTTATATTTTACATTATCTTTGTCAGTATAAATCAACAGAGCTATTGCTGAATGATAGAGATAACAACCAACGCTGAGATCTTTTGAAGCTAAATTTGCAGATTAAGGAGCAATATTGTCTTGAAACATGTTGAAATGGATAACCAGCACAATCCAAATGCTCTGTATGGTCTACAATCTGTATGTTCCTATAAAGAGGAGATAATGAAAAATACTAAATAATAATGTTATAAAGCATTCCTCCCCTACTGCCAGAGCACTCGAGGAGATGCATAAATATAATATAATTCAAATGTGAAATCACAATATAAAGATGAAACACAAATGGTCCCCACCCAAAAAAGCAGCATAATTTAAAAATGAGAGAAAGGCAGAGGTTTCACATAAGCTTTTTAAAATTTCATTGCCTTTTATTGTTTCTAAGGTTGTGAGCTCCTGCAATTGCCTGCTTATTGCACAACATAACCTAGCTATGTACAAAGCTGACATCTAAATGTCTTGATATGGAATTGTATAGGATGAAGTTATGAACATCTAAACAAAATAAAAATCTGTGGAATATAGAAGAAAGCACATAACATTATTTCATCACAAGGATATCTTCAGTGCCAGGCATTATTTAGGAAGAGGGCTATCAATTCAGCAAACAGCCATTGACGCAGTGATATACATGTAATACTTTCTGATTTATTTATTTTTAATTACACTGGTTACCACAGTTAGTTTGCTCTTTTTTTAATTTGGATAAATTGCTAGCACAAAAAGAAAGAAGGGGAAAAAAATCTATTAAAAGATAAGAAAATTATGCTGGCTTTTGTAATTGCAGTGACAGTGTAGTCGCAAATGGCTGAGTCATGTATGAAAGATTTATTGTGCAAGTGAAATGATTAAAAATAAGTATCAGTAGATAAGCAACAGAGTGCTGCACTCTTCCAAAAGTCACGATAGGGTTCCATTTTTAGTGCACTCATTATAGAATGGTGGGCATCAGAGTTACAGCAGCATCACATCAAAGGCAACTTCTCCAGAGTAGGATATGTTCTTTTTCAAAAGTAACTAATATGCATGAGTTAAATTGATTCTAAATCATTCGAATCAATTTCATTGCAATCAAATGTCAGCCTCTTCAATTATCAGTTTTTAATGGTTGTCTAAAAAAAAAAAGTCTTATGTTTCAAAACTGGTCTGGTGGGACCATCTCCAATTGTCATCCAAGATTTTTTTTCTTTGCTTTTTATCCACATAACCAGAAATCTACCTTCACTTAATTTCTAATTGGCTATGTATCTGTCTATTTTTAGGAATTTCTAAAGTTACTTTGGTATCTAAAATCAGTGCACTTCAGTTAGTTGGTATTCATTTTAAACGCCTTGATTTATCTCCCCATGATACTTTGTTCCCCTCATCTTCATCATCACAGGAAGTATATTCTTTTAAGGAGTAGTGATTCTGCATGAGGTCCTATATATAGGCACCTACATCACTTTTGGAGATGGACAGCAAAATATCTGCCCCACTTTTACAATATTTTTAAGGAGTTCTGAAATTCTTTCTGACTAGCGTTAAAAGTACAAGCAAGGCACAGCACCTGCAATTAGCACCAGTCAGTCTGGGAATTATTGGTTTCCCATGGTATTTATGACGAAGCCATCAATCTGTATCTCTTAACAGTTTCTTCTCCAACAGTATTATTTTGCTGTGGGTCGTGGCTTTCTGATCAAGTTCAGAATGGAAAATTGTCAGACCATAGGGTGTGTGTGTGTGTGTGTGTGTGTGTGTCAAACTGGTTAATTGTGGGTGACAAGCTTAAAAATATGAGCAGACAATCACAATTACATAAGGATCCTTCCCTAGGCTGGTAATGAGCACATAATGACTGGTAGTTGTGTGTAGCAGTGATATTTCAGTTTCGGATCCTTGGGTGAAAATGACTCTGCCTGTCAAAAGCAAGGAAATATTCAAAGACGAAGAGAGAAAGTGGTGTGTCTCTTTGCTTGAAGTTTAATGCAAGTGTGTTGTCTGAAATGCTATAAATTTAGTCTGAGTAAAGGAAAATGTACTGAAATACAAGTTTTTGTTCTCTTTTCAGGGGAGAAGAGAAGGAAAGCTTCTCATTAGAAAGGTAATTATCTTAAAAATGCTACTGTGCAGCTTATTCCATCCCTAAAGGACAAGTTTAATTGTGGATACAGGGATCTGTGATAAACATATATTTTGGATAAACAATATACAATGTGAAAATAGGGGAAGTGTTGTTTTGTCTGCCCAATTAAGGCATGTTGGAATAAATTAAATTTTTTTTTTGCGTATTTTTTTAAAGGAATAATTCTCCCAGGCTTTGTGCTGTTCATTACATAATCTTAATGCTTTGATAGTTTTAAGCATATGGGAATATTTCTTTCATTGATATCCTGTAAAACTTGGGATGTTTTGCTGTCTACTTCTATACTTCTGAATTTTGAAGAACTGTATTCCCCAAGAGACTTTCTAAATGTCTGCTGTTCTGAGTAGAAAAGACTTGTTTGTTCCTACTAGTTTCAGATTTCTAAATAGTTATTTGGAATTTACTGCACCAAAAGCTTAAGAATGCATGAAAAAATGTAGTGGCACAAAGAATAAAAATTATTTTCAATAAATTACTTTGCATTTTCATCAACATGCATACTAATTGTGCTTTTGCTCTGATTAGGGTTTTTTGTCTAATTTATTGCTATTGAATCACAGTTCATGGTGTCCTTGGCCCGTGAGACAGAGGCTCATGTATAAAATAAGATGGTTGAACTATCCAATGTTCAGTGGCGGATTTAGAGTTAGTTAGGGCCCTATGCTCAGCTTCATTTTTGGGGGCCCTCCTTGGGGCCCAGCCAAGAAAAATAACATTCTCTCTTATCTCCCTTCCCCCCACCCCTGCCACCATTTTCATTCTTTTTTTCTTCCTCCTCCTTCTATAAGTAATAGGAAGTAAATTAAAATGAAGTGAGGTACCTTGATTGTTTTTGTAGTCTAACTTATTTTTCCACAGACCACTTGAAAATCGCTGAGGGTCTCAGTGGACCACTTAATGATCTTTCCAAATATTGTTTGTACCGTTAGCTAACTATTGTAAAGGGCTTTGGATAAGAGCGCTTTATTTAAAAAAAAAAGGTAAAAAAGCATTGGGGTGTGGGGTCTGGCCACCCAGGGGTGCTGGAGGGGGCTGGGGGTGCAGAGTCTGGGAGGAAGTTAGGGTGCAGGAGCAGGCTGGGGTTGGAGTACAGGGTCTGGCCGGGAGTTAGGGTGCGGGAGGTGACTCAGGGCTGGGGCAGGGGTTGGAGTGTGGAGTGCTTACCTGGGGCAGCTCCCATTTGGTGCGAGGGGTGCAGGTGGGCATGTGAGGGGGGCTGTGCAGAGCTCCCGTTTGGGGGGTGCAGGAGTCAGGGCATGGGGTGTGGGGGGGCTGGGTATGTGTGGGAGGGTGCAGGAGTTCGGGGGGACTGGGGGTGTGAGGGGGTGCAAGCATCAGGGCAGGGAGCTGGGGGTGTGGGCTGGGGTCATGGGGGTGCTCCCTGCCCCACCCCAGCCCCCTGCCCTTAGCGGCTCACAGCAGGGGGTTCGGGGGGGTATGTGTAGGGGGAGTGCAGGGGCCCCGTCTTTACTCCGCCACACCCTGATTCCACCCCCTTCCCCAAAGCTCCGCCCACACCTCTTTTCTGCCTCCTCCCCCGAGCGCACTGCGGCCCCGCTCCTCTCCCTCCCTCCCAGAGCGACCTGAGCACCAGTAAACAGCTGTTTGGTGGTGGGGGAAGCTCTGAGGGGGAGGGGTGGGAACGCAGCACGTTCAGGGGTAGAGGTGGGGGAGGAGGGAGTTTGGGTGCGGAGCCCCAGGAGCCGGCAGGACCAAGCTTCTGCCCCCGCAGCTGCCTGGCCCTGGGACCCTCTGTCGTTGGGGGTGGGGGGGAGGGGGAGGGGGAGGTCATGCCAGGGCACCCTGTGTTTTACTGTAAATCCGCCTCTGCCAATGTTATAAGTAAAGCTAAAATCAGGATTTTGGCTGTAAGGCCTTTTTGGGATGTGGGGGAGAGAGGCTTCAAAAGAGATTGTTTCCCTTTTGGTCCACGTGCTGAAAGTCTCATGGGTTGCGAGTGAAAGATTGCCTCTGGCTTACTGGATATTTTAGACCAAGGCCGTACGACTTCTGTTGATTCTTAGAACTTCAATTATTTTGTGTGTACTTGTAATCATTATTGCAAATATTCTTTACAGTCTTTCTTATGTATGGATTAAATTTGTTGGGATCAGTGTCTGCAAAATGATGAAGAGTGTTGAAGTTTCATTGATGGTTAATAAATTACTCTGGAGTACACATTTTTGTTGTCCACACTTCTGGTAATTCAGATCGGAGAGGATTTTCAAAATAACTTGAATACATGTTTGTTCTTTATAGAAAATAATGTTTTATTCATTTTTAAAGTGCGGTACATTTTCATATTTGTGAAAGGTAGCCTGTAATTTTTAATTTTATAGTTGAAGTGGGGCTCTGAGGTTTCAGTATCTCTTGTTGATATTGAAATAGGTGTAGAATGACCATATACACGTCTAACTGTCCTTGGGAGTCAAAAATTCTTACCGCGTTATATCAAACTTGCTTTGATCTGCCGGAGTGCGCAGCCCCGCCCCCCGGAGCACTGCTTTACCTTGTTATATCAGAATTTGTATTATATCGGGTCGCGTTATATCGGGGTAGAGGTGTATGTCAGAACATATTTTAAACCTTGATTATCATTATCAGACCCAAAGATCAACAAGTGTTCCATCTTTCTCAAAATCTACATTTGTGATAATATGGAGAAAATAGAATCTGTTTTAACCATTGATTATAAGGGGAGACTTTTATTACATGGGCTCTTCTCCTAATGCAATTGCCTTCATGTGCATTCAGAAAGAAAAATGTACTTGAGTTCAAGTACTGTAGTCTTGCATGTATATCTTACTGCAATAGTCTGTTGGAGGCGGCTGCTGTTAATAAGTTTTTTTCTTTTAATGAATGTTATTGTTAAAGTTCCAGGCTGAAATATATGGTTAATTCTTGTTGTCTGTATAGTAGAATGAAGCCATCTTTATCTATAGAGCAATATGGTACACATAGTGGTAGAGAGAGTTCCCCGCAGTGTCTTGCCAGTATGCCTCAAACCTGACCTGGGAGGAGAATAACAATTTGTGATTAAGGTAATGGGGACTGGGTTCAATTCCTTTTCTGCCACAGACTTCTGGTGTGATCTTACACAAGTCACTTAATTTCTTTGTGCTTAAATTCAAAACCCCTGCAAAACGAGGTAAACATTATTTTCTCCCACTACTTGCCTGTGGTCTGTTTAGACTGTAAAATCTTCAGGGCAAGGACTCTCTCTTACAATGTGCACTTATGGTATCTACCAGAATAAGGTACCAATGTAAGATTGGGCTTCCATGTACCACTGTAATGATAAAAATTACCTGAAGGGACAAATGCTAGGGATGAGACTCCTGCTTCCATGATCAATTCAGTGCTTTGGAGACTAACCATTTGGGCTTCTTTTTTTGTTATCCTGACTAGTGTCTGTTGGTCTGACTCACAAATCTATCATACTTGGCCACTGCTGCAGGCAGTGTCATGATAATATAAAAATCTGTAGTCTTCATATGATTTTTGGAAGCAAAACCAGGGCAAGAGAGGCAGACGCCCACATACAATACCCTGAAAAGAAGGATGAGTCAGTGTTTAGGACTGTAGCCTGACACTTGGAAGAGTGAATTTGATCTGTCACAGACTTCCTGAGCAATTTTGTGCAAGTCACTTAGTCTCCCTTGTGCCTCTGTTGCCCATCTGTAAAATGGGGATAATAGTACTTCCTTATGTCACAGGGGTGTTGGAAGAATAAATATATTAAAAACTGAGATTCTATGATAATGCCAATATAGGTGCATTAAATAGATACCTAGCCTAGTGAAAGCTGCAAGCTCAGTTACCATGAGTTCTAGCTCCAGCTCTTTGCCTTTAACAACTTGGCAGTACCTTGGGAGAAGGAGGGAGTAACTATCATTCACCACTTTCCCAGATAAAATAACAGAGAGCTTGCATAAGGTCACTTCAGGCAAAGCTGGGATCTCTGATTACAGTCTCATTGCAACACAGTCTTTTGGAAAGAGTACATTAAATTAGGTACCTGTGTAACCCACCCTAACAAGTGTGGTTCTTTGTGTCATCCTTGAGCAATTAGGCCACATATTAGAGGGTTTTTTTCTCTGCTGCTACTTCCATGCTAAGCCATTTGGTTCATTAGTTGAAGTGGTAAAGGCTTATGTTTTTACATCCTCAGGTGCTAAGTTCAGGTCCCCACATGCCCTAAACAGAAGCATTGTTACATTTGGCTGTGCTGCCTACAACCACTAAGACCACGATCTACTCCCAGAGCCAGGAACAGAACCCATGAATCATGATGCCCAGCTATTGCTGTCTCACCAGTACTTGTGTAACCCAATGGCAAAGTATGTGGTGTCTCCCCATGCATGAGCTGGTCTTCATAGAGAATTACAGCATGTTTTCCCATCACTACTTACTCCTATAATGGAAGTATAAGAGGTCGGTGCTGTGGATCTGAAAGTTGTGGGTTCAAACCCTGCCTGATGAACCCATATGGGGTTGAAGGAATACATGCATAAATGTTAGTGTAAGGATACTGGAGTAATCTTCTTCCCCTTATCCCATCATCTGAGGTCGGGTCATCATGCAAGCATCCACTATCTTTGTCTATCTACGGGAGCACTAAGGTCCACCTGCTTACCATCATCTTTGATACAATTCACCCTTTGCTTCCTTGGCTTTCCTCAGAATCTCTTTCCTACCACTGTCTCGTGCCAAGCTATCTTCACCAGGTCCTCTTCATTCACCCTTTGTAGCTGTCTAACCACTGAAATCATGCTTCCTGGATTTTGTCAGCCAGCAGAGACTTTGGAGTAATCACTGGAATTATTTTATGCTGTGAAATATTATATGTAGAAGTGAATTTGAATGTTGTATGTGACATGTCATTCCATATTCTTTATGAAAATATTCTTATGATATGAATATGACATAACTGAGATATACTTTATGCAAGATGGCTC